GGTTCGTTTAACCGGGGTACGTAAAAAACCGGTTTTAAAAACAAAAAGGTTTTTTTACCTTAGGGGGTTTTAGTTTTACGGAGGTTTACCGGCGTTTACACGGTTCTTAACGGCTTACGACGGTTTAGTTTTAGTGGTATAGTACCGTAACAACCGAAAGGTTTAACGNNNAGTATAGGTTTCGTTAGACCGGGTTTGACGACTTCCCGATTAGGGATACCCGTATTTACGTAAACTTTTAATGGTACCACGGGACACGGGGGGAGTACCGTCGTTTAGTCGATTTCCGTGCAAGTANATTTAGACGGTTTGGTTTTGGTAAATTTTAAATTACCTTACTAGTGACAAGTATCTGACATTTCCTTTTCTGTGCGTGTTGTGTAGTCAGTTTTATGGATTCTCCGTGTGATAGTCATTGGAATGCAGTTGTTCGCATTCTTCGGTATATAAAATCAGCTCCAGGCAAAGGTTTATTGTTTGAGGGTCGAGGCCATGAGCAGATCGTTGGATACTCAGATGCTAATTGGGTAGGATCACCTTCTGATAGACGTTCTACGTCTGGATATTGTGTCTTGGTAGGAGGAAATTTAGTGTCCTGGAAGAGCAAGAAACAGAATGTGGTTGCTCGGTCTAGTGCAGAAGCAGAATATCGAGCGATGGCTATGGCGACATGTGAGCTAATTTGGATCAAACAGTTGCTCAAGGAGTTGAAATTTGGTGAGATTAGTCAGATGAGACTTGTGTGTGATAATCAAGCTGCTCTTCATATTGCGTCGAATCCAGTGTTCCATGAGAGAACTAAACACATTGAGATTGACTGTCACTTTGTTAGAGAAAAGATACTCTCGGGAGATATTGCTACAAAGTTTGTGAAGTCGAATGATCAGCTTGCAGATATTTTCACCAAGTCCCTCACTGGTCCTCGTATTAACTACATATGTAACAAGCTCGGTACATATGATTTATATGCACCAGCTTGAGGGGGAGTGTTAGAATAGTCATGTAAATAGTAGTAAATAAATAACCCTAATCCAATATATATTAGGAGTAGGACATGTTATGTGTGTATATATATAGGGCTCGTTGTAACATATGTTAATACATCAATAATATAATTTCTCCTGTGCTTTCTCACATCATTGACTCTAATGTTTTAATGCAAGTGCAGATATATAAAGTTGGTGCAGAAACATGGTTTGGATATTTCGCAGCCTGGTGTAGCATCAAACATTGAGTTGGCATGGCGGATGGCAAAAAGACGTAATGACACTGAAGTCCACAAGTAGGGATTCCTGCATTACTATGTATAACTGCACAGATTAAAACATTCCATGCACATATGGCTTGATCTCATATACAGTCTATTGTTTGTGCTGCAGGGAAACGGAGGAAAGACCTGGCTGGTGCACTGATCCGCATTTGCCACCATGTGCAGCGTATGTTAAAGCAAGATATTTTCTACGAAATACCTTTCTCACTTGATGATTGGTATCAGTAGTTTTACTTTTTATTTTATCTGCAATCAGATTCGTTGAGATCATGGCACCTGTTTTCTCTCGAGAGGCATGGCGGTGTGTTTGGTATATGATCCAGGTATCAAATATGTGTGATGCTTTTTGCGATTTATTGTGGCTGCTTCCTCAACCCCCCCCCC